ACACGTGCATATCTATGAAAGAGCAAAAAACCTGGAATGGTTCTCGAGGAGACTGAAGCTAGGGATGACACTGCTTGCGAAGACCAGCAGCAATTTAACCGACCGACTGACCGACCTACCTACAGAGTCTGGACTAGAAGGTCATAAGTTACAGTCACGATTAGATGTTCGAGGCTTCGTTAGCCAGCGGTGACAGCAACCTTTGAACATGGAAGCATATAAATCTATAGTGGTGGGAGCCGTTACCAAGCAACGCCTAGCGAAGACCCAGAAGTCGTAGTGCGTGCTGCAGGGAATTGTAAAAAGTTTAAATTAGCGATTGCGCTATACTCGTAATTACTTGCAGTTGCGTGTTGTAAGATTCAAATAAATCCAATTACTAATCCAAATCCCGTCTGTATTTTCTAACACGTTAAAATATCACTGTAGTCAAAAAACGTGATAACTTAAGACACAGTTTTCTGAAAATAAATGCAGTCATCCAGACGTACTGTGACGTATTCTTTCTTCCATCTGCGTGTATGCAACTGAACAGCGATGCTGTAAAATTTTAGTGGATGTCACGATTAACAGAATAGACTAGAATATAAATTCTATAAAATATTTACATATTGCATATACCAAACAATTTACACATTTCCAAAAAACCCAAGCATAACTATTTCAGGAGCAACATCGGAAATTATAGCAAGAATGAATGTAATAATATTGCAAAACCATCTTTTGAATATCACTTTCTCATAAAATTTTCCTCAAGTCATACTAGAACTCCCCATTTTTAGTTATGATGCACTAGATTTCCGGCCGACGCGTAGGGCTGACAACCTTGCCGCCATCTATGAGCCGATTGTCTAGAAAATGTGGGAACCTCAACATCTCACAACCCTATGGGCCTCCGCGGCCTGTTACAGGGATAACTTACATAGATTTTCATATTTATCATTTTAAGCACGTGCATGAACACCTAAGTAGTGTATATATGAGTATGCAGACATATGCAAGGCCTCCGCCCTTTCAGACTGTGTACAGCAGGTCTTACGTCTTACGCAGCTGACGTCACTCTCCCGATCGTGGTCTACTGCTGCCAAGTTTAAGATTCTTACTCCTTCCTGTCGGGTTTCGCCTCTTCCCATCTAGCGAACATTTAAATTCTCATTATTTTGTAAGACTTTTGCTGGCTGACTGCATGTTTAGTAATTTAGTCATATGCATACAGTAGTTTGAAAGCTAAATGCAAATTCTGAAACAGGGCGAGCCCTGAGAATTTGCCGTTATTGTGGATATCGTGCTTTGTAGGTACTGCAATTTAAAAGGTGCCTGCCGCACATTTTCAAGAGAGACAGGCGTAAGCAATATGGAATCAAGTCTGTCTTATGGAGGGTTAACATAACGTTATCAAGGAATCGCTCACCTCTGAACAGGTAATACACTCCGATAAATATTGTAAAGGCCTCGGCTTTAATCTCTTGCATGTGAATCCCAAATGTAATCCTCTAAATAAGAACAACGCTAAAATAATTTACGTGACGTACAAAAGTATGCTTCATCGGTTCAGTGCAAGTTGAGATTCGGCCGGTCTATGTCTGTGAGACAAGCAGATGGCCAGAGTCTTCTCTCCTTTAAGTTTACTTTTCTGCGCTCATACCAGGACTCCACTGAACTGGGGCCGCGCTGCAGCTTTCAGCAAACACAAGTTTCTTCGTGCTATTTAACACATACCTTTATAGATGTCATCAGGGAAGAGACTAGACGGAAATTGGGTGCTTGTGGGCATCGTTTATATTGTAGCGTGTATAGCCGTTGCTATACAATCTGCGAATAAACAACGGTGTTATGCAACCCGTTTTTAGACAACGGGTCGGTATACATGTTCCCCCTACAACAAATGCGTATACAATAGTTACTGTTGGAAACTGTTTTTTCTAATCGACCCGAGAGAAGCGGAGCTCTCCCCGCCACTACCAATACTTCTCCTATTCCGCGTCGGAGGACTGTCACTTCTATATACCCGGGCTGTACGTGGTATAATTATAACAGACAAACAACAAACTCCGTGACATTAGTCCGCAAGTGAACTATACCGACCGAACGACCGCCGCTTGTCGGCTAAGTTAGTGCCAACTTTAGCAGATAGAGGGTGTCGCGTGGTCAGCGCAACGAACTCCTACGGCCGTTAATTTCGGTTTTCTAGACCGGAGCCGCTACTTTCCCATTCAAGTACCTCCTCATTTATCCTCACGAGGCTGAGTGGACCCCGTTCCAGACACACTTCTTCTTTTTCTTCTTCTTCTTCTATGGCGCAACAGCCCGATGTCGGGCCTTGGCCTCCCTTATCAAGCCCCTCCATTCCTCTCTATCCTGCGCTGCTCTCTTCCAGTTCCTTACGCCCATTGACTTCTTTGCATCTTCTTCCACCGCATCAATCCATCTAGTTCTTGGTTTCCCCGCAAGTCTCCTACCACCTATTGTACTGTATAATATTTTCTTTGGGATGCGCTCCTTATCCATTCTCTGTACATGCCCAGCCCATTGCAATCTTTTAGCTTTATCGTCACTGAGATCTCTGGCTCCTTATATAATTTGTATAACTCTTTATTATATCTTATTCTCCATATCCCATTCTCTTTTATTGGTCCATAAATTCGTCTTAGGATTTTCCTCTCGAAAGAACTGATGACTGATTCCTCTTTCTTGTTTAGCGTCCAACCCTCACATCCATAATAAAGCACCGGTCTTATCACTGTTTTAAATATTTTTGTTTTAATCGCTTGGTGTATATCCTTTGATCTAAAAACTGATAGTAACGAGAAATATGCATTATACGCTAGTTTTATTCTTCTTGTTATTTCATGATTTTTCCTCTCCATCTTTGTGGAATTTCGATCCTAAATATATGAAGTCTTCAACTATTTCTATCCCGTCCACTTCCATGTTAATTTCTCCAGTTTGCCTCGGACTCCTTCTAGATTGTATCAGCATTTTAGTTTTATTTACATTCACCTCCAAACCAGGTGTTTTTGCTATGGTTTTTATTTCTTCATATATCTCCTTCATTGCTCTTAGGGATCACGATACTATGATAATATCACCCGCATACGCCATTATTTGCGTTTGTTTATATGCTATTGTGTTCCTTGTGTCTACATTACATTTCTTCACTATATATTCCAATACCAAATTAAGTAGAATTAGAAAATCTGGTAGCGCGGGGAATCTAACCCGGGACCTCTGGATCTGTAGCGAGGAACTCTGACCAATACACCACAGAGGTGGTTTATATAATGATAAATATTTTAAAAAGAAAATGTGCAGCATAAATAGATCATCTTGGAAAATATTATGCTTATTCATAAAACAGGCAAAATATGCATTTATATGCAAAATCAAACCATGCCTAAATTTTAAGAAATGCATTAATGCATACATATATCCAAATGAGCATACTTTTTGGTTGCAAGAAACAAATATTCATTTGCAATAAATGCGGTCCCTAGTCATCGCAGATGCTTCTATGACAAGCTGTCGGGTGATGACTACTGAACCTCGTGATTGATGACGAAAGTTTGTTCCGCCATTCTAACCCCGAAACAAAATGATACGACATGGAATGGCAGCATGCTACTCCTCTCGGCTACAAAGGAAAAGAATGAGATGGGAGCAGTTCCCCTGGATGCCGAGTGTGCAAACTGGTTGATTTCCTGTCCACAAAGTAAACTGTCAATGCAGTTCTCTACGTTAAGACGCTTCCAGAAATTGCGACATCCACTTTCCACTATCACCAGATGAAAAGATATATCATCCTTGGCACGATGATGCACACCCTCACAATGTACAACTGTTTCCTGAGAAACTGTAGTATTTGACTGGGAAGCGCTCCTCTATTTTGCCTACGGTCCGAACTCGGTCCCTTCCGACAACCACATGTTCTGGCCCTTAATACACCATTTGACGGGCCAGCACTACGGAAAAAACGAGGCAGTCCCGCGAATCATGCGTAAGTGGCTGCGAAACTCTCGGTCTTGTACAGCACGACACATGCAAGACTGTGCATTGCTGGCAGAAATTCCTGGATCGTTCCCAGGGTGTACTGGAACAGCGACAGAACATCTCCAGTAAGGGCACGGTCACACACAGCGATATCGGTCGTACGATTTTGTTGCCCTACGACCTCCTTTTCACACTAGAGCGACTTTATCAGCACCGAATCGCAGTTCTGATGAAGGAACAACGATAAGAACTAATACAATAACGCGAAACAGACGATGAAGTTACGTAATGTGAATCACAGAACTGGACTGCATCACCCACTGAGCCTGCGACAGTCGGACGGCTTTCGCCGTCCGTGTGGTTTGGTCCGATTGCTCTCCGACTGTCGTACGGTAGATGTCGCATGTCGTCACGTATGAAAGCTAAGACTACACTTTATATTCTACTACTTGATGCGACATGAACCATACGGACGTAGTACGACCGATGTGGTTGTGTGTGAACGTGCCCTAAGTCAAAGCAGCATCTACTTTTGTACGTGTAGAGTTTCTTCGATATAAAAAAATTGTGTTCATAAATTTCTGTACGGCAGACTATCACTGTAATTTTGACCGTCAGACTCAAGAAAGAAGGAAGACAAAGAAACAAGCATATCACGAGATGTTTAGCTCTTCCGATCTCAGAAGTTCTGTCGGGATTGCAAGCCTCCCTGTCTAGAACTGAATGATCCGCCTCCAGAATTCAAAGCGGGATAGCTAATCGCCCGAACGCCACGCTCCTCACAGCTGCAATAGTGAATTTCTGTGATGAAGTTCCTAACTGGGCTCGCGAGACGTTGTCGTACGTTCTTTCCAAATTTATCTTGGAAACTGCCGGGTATGGGGACGATCTCTGTCTCCAGACCAAGTTCGTGTTATAAAATGTATTAAGTTAGTAAGTACATGATACATTTAGTAATAAGCGATCCATGTTTCGTAAGAAATTTACTTTCTCCTTGCTGCTATTACTCCTACCTTTCGCAGAACTTGGGGTTCAAGCACATTGGGAGCCGTGATGAGTATCGACTGGACGCGTTGACCTTCTCGGAACTGATTCACTAACCAGTTCGTATCATGAATGAAGTCCGAATTCCGAGGAATCCACAATTTCATAGGATCTTTCTCCTGATGGAACCGAAGAATACCGAGGCTGCTAAGTGCCACCAAGCTCAAACATCCGAGTATGGTGCGCCATGGGTGACAGCCAATGGCGAAGCCAAACCTGCAACATTAATGAGGCAATGCGAGTCAGCTCCTACGTATTTACTTTATAGTTAATGAATGAAGGATAGAACAGCCTACGTTTCCACACGCACCAGTGATACACAATCCAGAGCCCGCCAATGTTCTCTATGAGACTAAAACAAATGGTTGCAGACATAAAGGCGGTTAAACAAACATCTTCAGCGTTACTCCACGCAGATATTGACACCGTATATATTGTCAGATGTATTATTGACTATAGACGGGGTTCCGATTGGTGAATAGATTTATTAACACCTTATACAATAAATTAGTACTTACAAGAAATACAGCGCTATAGCTGATTTACAGAATTTACAGTTTGCCAGTTCACACGCCCTAGGGTTCTCAGTCTTCATTAGTCGTACCCTGGCAACGAAATTAAAACAGTTTCACTGTGGTTAAATCTTATAATCACACATTAAGTTTTCACAGGCTGACTTCTAATTCTTCTTCAACTATTGACTTCCCGTTGTTATCTCCTGCGACAACTTACTGAACTCTGCTTCCCGCTCTATGGCTGACTTCTTGTACTCTTCCGTACACCTACAGCTGCTAGCCTCTTCTGTTGTCAAAATTCGTGCCTATTGGCCCGCTCCCCCGCGCTGAGCATGGCACGGACCACAGAGAAAACAATTCTTTTGTTGTCCTTTATAACTCCACACGGACCACAGCAGAAAACACAGCCTATTTCGTGACGTCACCGAGTATGGGAAAATGTGTTTAGCGCACGTTGCCTAGCAACGGTCCGTGTGCGGACCACAGAAAACACTGCTCTTCTATTGTCGAGAATGCGTGTTCATTGGCCCCTTACCTAGCAGTGGGTCGATACGTCATACTATGTATATAAATTCAAATTAATTGTTTCCACCTGAAGAGTCTTCGGCTCCTATCACAGCTCTGCGGCATTACTTGTTATGTTCTCCTAGCGCACATATTTACTCTACAACTGCTACTTCTGGACCAAAGCAGGCAAATATTAAATTGTTCTATTGAAATTTGGAATTATTGAGGAGATGGAATTACACAGATAAGATTGCGAATTAGCATACAATGTGTCCGGCCGCAACTGCCAAAAAATAACATATTATATAAATTACGCCACAAAGTCTACAGGAGAAATAGATACATTTTCAAACAATGCAGTTTGCAAAGTTAGTTCATTCGTAGGGTGGTCTGCGAGACGAAAGTAACGGGTTCTAGTAAGGATGATAGGATTTATTAGCACCTTGCTTACAAGTTCTCTTAATCACACTCAAATTCAGTATTATCGATGACTGCACACTTTCCAGTCACCGTTGCACACGCACTAGGATTCTCAGTCTCCACTAGTCGTCTCCAGGCAACGAATCCCAACACTGAAACTAGAACTTCAAATCACTATGAAATCTTCTTGCTATTTCGTCTTCAATCAGTCTGGAACCTCGAACTAAAAATTCTTCTGGACTCACTCCTCCAGCTTACGACTGACTTGTAACTGCCCTTGAACTAATTCTGTCACTCCCTCGGTCAAAGTCAAAGTCACATGGCGACTGATGTTCAGTCAGTCAGTAAGTCTTTGTGTCGAGCCTCTTTGGGGCTAATGACCAGATATTTATTACTCTTTGACAGTTACGGTCTTGATTTTGTGGGGCGCCCTATCTGACGAGAGGACGGGTTTGTCCTTTGTATATGCTGCTTGCCCTTGTCAGCGCAGTCTTTCTCGGATCCGAGGCCCTTGGGACTCGTGAACATTCCATTTTTGTCGCCTCCTACGATTCGCAGGATCACGGTGGATGTAGCCGACCCCGCCTCCACACGGGTTACTCCCTCGGTTATTCTGGAAATCTCGTTATATAGATGCGGCACGGACCACACAGGAAACACAGTTCTATTGTAAGAACCGTTTCGTAACCTAGCGACTGGTCACAGGAAACACCGTTCTTACTGTTGTTCGGCGCGGACGACATAGAAACCACAGCCTCGTCTACTGTTGCGCATTGGACCGTGTTTTGCCTCGCAACGTGTTGATCAAATCTCTTACTAAATGGAGGATAGGGGGGGGATGCTCCTGTTGTCTATGCAACGATCAGGAAACTCCCTCTCCAGAAAGAGACAAGCAGGACGGGAGGAGATGGCGAATCATCTAACTGGAAAACTGTTGCTACAGGAATGTGACACAAGGCAGTGCCCTCCATTACAGCGAGGAACGTTTCACCAGTCACCCTAAGTTCTTCAAAAGACAAAGGACCAATAATACTCGTACTGTTTTGAACACGACGCGTCACACATTGACCATGTTCGCTCGATAACTGTCCCAAACAGGCAAACTGTGTCTGCTGGCTGCTTCAGGAACACGACACGTTGCTTCAACAATAAACACAGCCTGTTACGAGGGTTCTCGCCGTCTTCAATGGGTGAGCTCCGATATGTGAGTGTTCTGTTCTGGAAAACCGAAACCTGTAATCAAGTAATATTTGTTTCTTATGCAAAACACAACAGTTGAGCGAAGGCAAGGAGTTCAACGTTGTGAGGATGGGGCATCCTGCGTGTCTGGAGCAAGACAGTTCCTGCATGTTCAGATGCTGGTACCAACGGATCACAGATCTGCGAAATCAGCACTGTTTAGGTCGCATATGGAAGAACGATTTGAACAATGCAAACTACAGTTACCCTCCAGTTTCTGCCGCATGGGGTACATATTCTCTTCAGGTGAACCAAAATGGGACGGGATGGAGGCGCTCCACACGCTCATGTAAGATCAGCGTATTCAGAAGGGAACTGGAGGGTTATTACACTGCAGGCTAATGTATGTTTTCATTTCTCATGTGCAATATTTTATATAACTTACTTTTAGAATTACATATCCATTGTAGTATTCACGAGTATACATAGGTTTGTCAATTTACAATTGATGATTTGTGTATAATTACATTTAACGAAACAGTTCTCTTTCACAGACTACCAACGTTCATAGTGCTATATTTGGCACCACTGTACGTTTGTTTCCCTTCTTCTCCTCCCTTCCTTCAGTTCCTTTCAAGCCGCAGTACATGTGACTGGCACAGGCTCCAGCCGATAATTATAGATAGAGACTTACTCATTCACTGACTTTTAAATTGCTGCTAGCCCTCGCCAGCACAGTGATTCCTGGTTTCGAGTCCCACGGGACATATATTAGCGTTCAGACTCCAGCTAAGTGCAGGAGAATGGTCAGTGCCACATTTGATCTCTATGGCATGGGACCCATGCTTCTTCGAAGAGCAAAGCATCTGCCTTGACAGGAACCTTACCTGTAACGTTTATGAAAGGAGATTATCCGGATAATCGATGACGGGAATAGAGACTGACGCGGAGTTGAGTTCAGCAGTGACAGATCGTTCATAAATAACCTACATCCAGATGTGCAAATCAGTGCTACTTGTGGGTAATTTGGCGCCATGAAATACCTGCTACTATCTCTGAATCAAGTATAGATACAGTACATATGCTGAAGTGCCAAAAGTCATGGGATAGGTACCTAGTACCTATAGGGATAGGTACCCTCTAGCCCGGCGAAGTGCAGCAACTCGACGTGGCATCGATTCCACTAGTGGACGGAAGACCTCTGGAGAGATGTTGAGCTATGCCGTCTGGATAGCCGCCCACAGCTTCCTGGTATTTGTAAGTGCAGGATTTTGGGTGCGAATGGACCTCTCCATCACGTCCCATAAATGCTCGATTTTGTTCATTTCGGGCCAACATGGTGGCCACACCATTCGTCGGAACTCTCCAGAATGCTCCTCAAACCAATTCTGGACAACTCCGGCCCGATGACACGGTGTATTGTCCTGCTGGAATATCCCATCGTTGTGGGGGTACATGAAGTCCATGAAGGGCTGCAAATGGTCACCAAGTAGTGTAACGTAGTGGTCACCGGTCAATGACGTGTTTAGGTGGACGAGCGGTTCCAACTCATGCCACACTAGTATGGAACCACCACCAGCCTGCACGGTGCCTTGTTGACAAGTGGGGTCCATGGCCTCATGGGGTCTGGGCCACACCCGAACCCTACCATCCACCCGAAACAACTGGTACCGTGACTCATCGGACCACGGCACATGTTACCAATCCTCAAGGGTCCAATTAGCGACGTCATAAGCCCAGGTGTGGCGCTGTGTCCGCTGTCGTAGTGTTAACAGAGGCACTCTGGTCGGTCTTCTGCTCCCATATCCCATGCAAGCTAAAGAACGCTGCACTGACCTGCTGGATATGCGTCTGGTACCTCCTGCATTGAACGTGGATGTGATTTCAGCCAGTGTCGCTTGTCTGTTACCACGGACAATTCTAGCTAGACGCCGCTGGTCACGATCATTAAGCACCCGTGGTCGGCCACTGCGCTGTTCACGGTGGGTGGAAATGCCTTCCACAAGGTTTTCCCGGTACACACGTGACACCGTGGATCGAGGAATGTTGAATGACCGCACAACTTCGGAAATGGACTGTCCCATCAGCCTGGCACCCACTATCATGTCCCGTTCAACCTCCGATAATTCACGTCGGCTTGCCATGAGCTCACTGGCCGGTGTTCAACCTGACTCACGAGAGAACACCGCACAACTGATACTGCTCTGGGCATTCCCAAGCCGTCAAGGGACGGTGGCGGCACTTAAAAATAAATTTACATACTGCTATCCCATAGCTTTTGGCACTTGAGTGTATAATGCTGATGAAAGTCGTGGAAGCAATACGCCAATTGTTAGGAGTTTAACATTCAGAACCTCTTCCTCCTCTTTCCCCAAACCTCTTGTTTTTTATTCATATCACATAGAATTTAGAAACTCCGTGCTTTGTAGAGGGGCCTGCAAAGTGGAGCAAGAATCAAATTTCCTGTTTCCACTCCCATTATTTTTACTGCCGGCAAAGACTATTATTAGTCCCCAGCATATTCATGAAGTCAACAAACATGGGCGATCCCAATTCATAAATTATTTTAAGGCATTGAACACTTATCATAAGTCT